CAGGAGGTCAACATTCACTCTTGATATGCTGCTTCGACGCTGGCTTGACGTTGGCTGGACGCTGGCATGACCGTCGCTCAATGCTTGTTGGACTCTGGCTTGACGTTGACATTGTCGACGACGACGCGGGACTGTAGAAGCATGTTGGCGCCTTCACTGTTGAGCGCCAACCTCTGCTGATGCGGCACGTGCCACCTATCTTTAATGCTGATGTGGCGCATGCCACCTATCTACATTGCTTATGCGGCACATGCAATCTGTCAACATTGTTGATGTGGCGCAGACCATCTGTCTTCATTGCTGATGTGGCCCATGCCACCTGTCTACATTGCTAATGTGGCGCATGCCACCTGTCTCTATTGCTGACGTGGCACTGACCACGCTCGCTACATGAGGTGATTGGTCGCGACAAGGAGGGAGATCAGGATCTGTGGATGATTAGGGCACTGATACTCACTTGAGGTTGACGTCGATACTGTGCACTGTTGCTTGTCTTCATTGTCTCCATGAGATGACAGTGCCACGTGACACTTCTATATGGTCAGGACTTCTCAAACTTGTTACTGGATATTGATTGATGACGAGGAGGCGAGGGGAAGCCCGGAGAAGGAGTGGGTAATGTTTGAGGCTACTCCTTTGGTGGTCATTGATTATCTCTTCCACCCTCTTATCTGTCAATCCCCCCTCCACTCTCTTCGTCTATTGGTAACAAGGCATTATATCAGATATCACTTTCACGGTTACTGGAGATATTGTGCAGATCTGAGTCAACTTGTACTTCGACATCTGACGAGTATCTTCCAGTCGGGGTTCATTACAATGTTGTTAATCATACAAATTTATTGTACTAATATTAAAATATTTCAATGTATTTCATCCAAATTCCTTACCAAATGTGGAATACAAATATAATAAAAAACAAATAATAATAATAAAATAAAAACATAAAATAAAATTAAAATTACTGAGTGGGCTGCACGTTTTCAACACCACCATCTTTGGCAATTTTTCTTTTTTTTGGGAATAGCCAAATGCCCTGAAAATTTGCAGGTGTGTATTTCACATAATATAAAGCTCATAAAAAAAGTTCCAAAATAAATAAAATATTTGAGGCACCAAAATAAAATCAAAACAAAAAGCCAAAACTGAAAAAATAAAATAAAATTGAGTGGCCGAGTATGTTTTGACACCACCATCTTTGACGATTTTTCATTTTTTTTTGGCTTCGCAACTGCCTTGAAAATTATATGCATGTTGTGCATGTCATGCCGACTCACAACAACAAATTCAATAAAAAACAATAAGTTGTAGGCCCCAAAATAATTTTGGGCGGGGACCGAACACCTTCAGGTTCGGACCCCGAATAGGACCTCGAACGCCCGAACGTTCAGGGGTAAACCCGGGGGCCCCCGAACGTTCGGCCAGGTAACCATGTATATATATACATGTATATATATATGTATGTATGTATATATCTATCTATGTATGTATGTATCTATCTATCCATCTCTCTCTATATATATACACACACATAGAGAGAGAGAGAGAGAGAGAGAGAGAGAGAGAGAGAGAGAGAGAGAGAGAGAGAGAGACAAACAGAGAGAGAGGGAGTAGAGGGATATATAAATATTATCAAATAGCGTTGCCCGGTAAACCGTACGCAGAGAGGGAAAAGAGGACAACAAACGGGGGGCTGTGACAAACTGTTTCGTTGGAGTTTCACCGCCTCATCAGGAGGCTGAACCCTATACATATATATATATGTATTTATCTCTCTCTTTCTCTATCTTTCTCTCTGTATATATGTATGTACATATATACATAGAGAGAGAGAGAGAGAGAGAGAGAGAGAGAGAGAGAGAGAGAGAGAGAGAGAGAGAGAGAGAAAGAAAGGTGATGGTGACAGGTTACAGAAACTACAAATAAGTTCCCACCCGATCGCACTTCCCCGAGTGGGTTGGAATTTAGCGAAGCCCCACCACTGCCACGGTGCACCGCAATGTGCTTGTGCGAGCATGTCGATGATAGTGACAGACTGTCACGTTGGATCTGCACAAGACTACGAACAACAGTCATCCATCTGTAGTGTAGGGACGGAAAGGCGAGGGGGGCGGGTCCTCGCAGCTCTCCTGTGTTGTCGGCCTGAACGGACGGTGACCTTTTCCCGCACTGAAATACGTGAAAACAACGTACACAGAAAATAAAAAAACGAAAAGCAAAAAAATAAAAAATAAAATCCAAAAATATAAAATCGCAATCCTATATTTTGTAAGGAAATGAAAAAATTGATGAAATAATTGTTACGGGGGTCACTTCGATGTCCGCAGGGAACCAAGCGGACTGCCATCCGCCTGCATTGGATTTCGTATTGGTGCCGACACGCGGGTCCCGCTTCTCCATCGATAAATTGGAGCGGTACCTGGTACTCCTCCAACTACTGGTTGCACACTCAATTTTCGACGTTTGCTGCCTACCGATAGGAGGAATTTTTTTGCGGGGGGGGGGAGGGGCGGTTTTATGCATAAACGTGCACCATCATTTTTATGTATATCTTTTTTTTTGCTCATTTGGTGTCTTTCTTATACTTGCGGCGCATCACGATGCGCTGCATCACTCAAGTACGATGCACAACGCACGTGCATGTTGCACACATGATATGATGCCCCGCACCTCATAAAACACAAATACCTTTTCCCATGTCGGGCTTGGGTAGGCGTCCAATCTTTTAGGAGGCCGAAACGAAACGACGATCTTTGATAAGATTTATCAACAACAAACTATGCCCCTGATTTTTCAGGAGTATGGGAAAAGTGCCAGTTTTTCCATTTCCCAAGAAAAAAGGAGATAGTTATGGTTTAAAATAAGGGTGCTCAAAAATTTTGAGGGCCCAAGTGATGTGACATCCCGTTCCTGTCATAACAAAAAAATTGACTCAAGAAGAAAGAAAAAAGGTGAGATTGCGCACCATAGCGGCCAAGTTTCGTAGAAGTTTCCACAAAACATCTTTGTCATGAAATGTATACACCACTTTTAAATTTTCAAAGTTTTCAGCTTCAATACATCTAGACCGGGGTTGCTGGCGTTCGGGACGGGCCGAACGCCCGATTCCGAACGCCCAAACGTTCGGCACCCCCTCTCGACGCGTTCGGCCGTTCGGCTGAACGAGGGGGGGAAAAAAAAAAAAAAAGTACAAAATATATATGTTATGCAGAAGAATAAACTAAACATTTGCCTCAAAGTTAAAAATCAAATACTAAAAATAATAATAATGATGAAAATGGGAAAAAATAAAACGAGAATGAAATTATTGAGTGGGCGAGCACGTTTTTTTTTTTTTTTTTTTTTTTTTTTTTTTTTTAATTTGGACCATTTCTCGATTTATGCGTGTCATCCTTGCTCAGGGGCCATGCTAATCTTCTCT